AATCGATTATTCGATTATTTTGTGCACATTTATTATCAATTCTACTATCAATTAAATTAAATCTAATGATTAAAAAATACAAACGTTAAGTGAAAATGATATAATCGTTATATTACAGATATACACGATCTTATAACATATCCTATTAAAACATTTTTGTGGCTGCGACATAAAAAAATGGAACACGTTGAGATTATAATGTTCATAACCAATATTTAATGGCAAGTTTATTCTAACGAAGATGCGTAACGAAATATATATTTCGTTTCCCTTGGAATTAACCGACAATGTGCCATGATGGGGCGTGCGCGCCTTTGCGCGCATTTTCTGTACGCACGTACAAATCTACTATGGCGATCCGCGAACAATAACTCTTCCTCCACTCTCGGCATTTAATGGCCGGCCATCTATTTATCGTGGAGGAAGAGGAAGCGGCTGATGGGTAGATAGGTCGAGCGTTTTGTAACTAATTTCGCGAGTAAATTGTCCGTAACATTGGTTTGGTGCACTCGGACTAAACTAACGATAGCTAACCGGGGGCTGGAACTGTGCCGGCGTGCCAACGCGTGAATCCTGTATTATATCCCGATCAGGATTTCGAACTAACGTATAATTTCAATGAGCATAGATTTTGACGTCGTAGATACATGAAAAGATAATCTCTGTGGTTTAATCGGAAATTAATACCGAAGCTACGCCATATCAAAATAATTTCAAACCTCTGATGAGATTTAATGTTTGTGACCCGAATTAGATAATATTTCATTTTATTCCATTTCAATAATGGATTCTCATATTGATATTTATGTTACGATTAATAATCTATTTGTTACGAATAAATCAGATATCTTGGAAATTGATAGAGTTTCATTAATAATAACAACATAATCTATTCTTTTTGCATTTTTTTGCAAATGCCATCTAGATAATGAGGAAGGAATAACTATTTCTACAAAGCTACGATTACCATTACGTTGTGAGTTGCTTGACGATTATTGGAGAAAACAAAGTAACATAAAAGGGAAAATTGCAACTGGTATAGTTACGCGCAATGGAAATGCGCAATGTGCTCGATGCGTCAATAATAGGGACATGGTGGCAATATTTGTGAACGTTTAATGCGTAAGACGTTTTACATGTGTTCTGCATATTTCTACATTTGTTTAGAAAGAAATTGATCCTTTCTAAAAATTTTTCATTTATTGTAGTCAATTTACGGTAACATTAACATTCAACTTATTCATTAAATCTTTTATAAACTCAACCATTCCCGATATGTTCAAAAAGAGTACAAGATATTTTTATAGAATATTATTTCTATTTTCTGTAGCACTAATTGATAATTTATATTATATATTACATGCTTGTAACTTAATTAATTCAAGTGTTTCATTATTTCTCCAAAAAGTTAACCATTATACTTAAAAAAAAAAAAAAAATAGTAGAAAGAAAAAAAATGTGTGCTCTTTTTCGCAGACTCCATTGTTGAAGCGTATAATCCGACCGTGATCGACCCCAAGTGAGTGCAAGTATACGTAAGTAACTGCACGCCCACACCGCGCGTTCGCGATTCGACGTGAGTCACTGGCTAGAGGCTGAATAATATGTCAAAGAGTTCTTCGGAATCATAACAAACGTCGGAAAAGCCAGTTACAGCTCGGTACAGCTACTTAAGAGTTTTTATTCTTTATTGAAAGACAAAAAGTAGTTTATAAAAAAGAACAATTGGCAACTGATAATAAACAATAAAAGCAGAAATTTAGGGACGGAAATAATACAAGATGAGCACGGCGGATAAATAATAATAATAATTATAAAATATAAAGGAATATATATCTTTAATGTGAGAAAACATATGCAATAAAATCTTTATGATTCATAACGTCTCGTTACAAGATAAAGAATTAGCCGCCAGTCGGCTGAAATAAGCGAAGCGACACGACCGATATTAGCGTCGTATTTTCGGTTAGGTCATCATCTCCGCTCGATGTTAATCGCGTTTCTGCCTTTCCTCCTCGTCTCCCCTGTTTGTATTTGTACAGCGACTGAAATAATCGGCGATGGAACGGTAATCGTACGCAGTTTTGAAACGAAGGGCGGTGAACCGTGGAAATGGTTCGTCCGGTGGTGGTTGGGATGTCCTTTCTGGCTCGAGCAGCACAATAATCGTGGATTTCCGTCCGCTTATTATCTTACACGCGTCACAATGCGTTTAGATTGCGTCGAGGGTATCGGCTAATTACCGGTCGCGATTTAGTCGAGCGTCCCCGTCTGCCGACGATGGCGTGAGACCGAGATGTCAAGCTAAATCTCTCTCTCTTTTTTGCACCCCACAAAATTATAATTGAAAAAAAAATCTAAACAGAGTGCAGCACTTAGAAGAGAACTTTGGTAAATGGCTGCAGAACGCTATATTTAAAGTATGGTATTCGCAATATTCATGTGTCAAATAATACACTAACTCTAACGTGTAGGTTCTTCTTAAATGTGATCTTAATTAACTATACTAATCATTAATTATACAATATCTTAATTATTTAACCATGTTCTACATCTCCGTTTAATTTTTTTTTTAAACTGATGCCACTTTTTCAAGTTTAATATAACAAAATCTTAAGATTATGCATTATAGTCTTTGATGCATTTATGTCTTATGATCATAGCTCTTTGATGCATTTATGTCTTATGATCATTACAACGTTTGATTATTTTTCCTTATACTGTCTTTGAGATTCAAACACTTTATCGATTCTACGGTAAATCGTGATTTTACACATCAAAACGCGGTATCCAGGAGTCGATAACGGTATCAAAAAACCGGTTTCCGGTTGAAGGCAGTAATAGGTGCTCGTTGTGCAAAATTCGTAGACCGGCTTTTCGACCGAGAAACCGAACCATCACGCGTGCCTTTTCTCTTTTGATAATATCGCGAGCAGAAAACTTTCCTCGCACTATTGATTGATTTCGATAGTCGATCTGTCATGATCAAAATCGTATTGTCTCTAATTTTTTATATACAAAATACATACGAAAAGACAAATAGGAGCCATAAAATATATCATAATATATCACAATTTCTCTCGAGATATATTATAAAAAGTCTTAATATATCACAGGAAATAAATTTGATACCGATGTCGTTTTTGCTTTAAAAATAATAAAAAAGACAATATATATATATATATTTGTTCTTTTTATTAAGAAGTTATTTTTAGGGAAACCGTACCCTTAAGTTGTTGGTGTAGTTATATGTAGTATATATATATATATATATATATATATATGTATATATGTATATATATATAGAATTTCCCAAAATCTGTTTTTTTTCATTATTATTCACTTTCATTATTATCCACAGATTATTGAATAGAGAAAAGATATAAAAATGATGTTTCTCGAGATTTTCATTATCGAAGATTGACTTCAAATACACCAAAGAAATGCGGTAAGAACGGCTTTTAATCATGACCAGTGGTCATTTCTGGAACACCCTATGTATAAAGCCAACAGATTCATTAACGAAATAGCGGCCTTTACGAAAATCCTGAAGCCTTAACGACAAGCGAAACGGCCTTCGTAATGTGAAAAGTACACGCTCTCGTTCGTGGCGTGAGAGATCGCACGGACGCAGGCACGCACGCACGCACGCACGCACTCACGCACACGTGTGCCATATAGATAACTTCCTTCGTAAGGTAGAAGAGAGACGTACGACGCGTGTGCCAGACGGACGGCGCGGTATCAAAGGATATTTACCTTGTCAACAGCGTGGCTTTACGTGGCGGAGACGCCGCTACGTCTATAAGGGGAGAACATATAGTACTCACTCGTACCGAGATAATAGTAATGGGTATTATTACTCCGCTCTATTATTTTACGATCTAGCGCTTCTCGGGAATTGATACATTATCGTGGAGTTGCGCCGAGCCGATCCGAGCCGAGCCGGACCGAAACGAGCCGTCTGATTGACGAATGATTAAGAACGTAAATAACCATCATTTTTCCGAGATCTACTATCTACCATTCGATATATCGCCGATGTAAATAACATTAACTCATTAATGGAAAATCGATATCGATTAGGAATAAAACAAATTAATCATGATACTTGAGTCGATTTCCGAATGTAATGAGCGGAATTAAGTACCGATTCCGAATGGATTAAAACCGCGCAGTTTTTTTTTCTTTTATCTCAAAGCCTAGCCGATAATCAATATATCCGGTGAAAAGTTGACGGTTAATATTTTACGTTTAGTTGAAAGCCTATAATCTCGCGTTTTATGACAAAACTTAAAAACTGCCGCAACCAACACGAGTGACACGTGTGCGATCGCTTATTTAGATCTGTCGTAAAAAGGGGAAAATTAAACGATTTTCTTCAAATTGATGCGCTCATTTACTAAGCAAAACTCGATAGCTGTTATTGCTTAATTAAACTTACATTTGCGTCATGGATGTCGCATACCGAATTAAATTACGCTTAATAGACGAGACTTGACTGCTGCCAAGAATACGAAAGTCATTGCATAATTAGACTCTATTGTAATTTTTTCAACTAAACCACAGATGATAAAAATATCTGTTTAATCGAGACACAAGTCTTTTTTTCTATTTATTACTTAATCGATGAAAAAAATTCACTTTCATTTGTTTACGTATGTAAGTGAATGTTGAGTATTCTTTTAATTTAGAAATCAATTCTACACAATCTGTAATCACAACTTTTCAAAATTGTTTCAACTTAATTTTATATATATATATGCACATGTGTTGTCAAATAAAAATAAAAATATCATCGTATTAACATGTGTTATCTCGTTGACGCGATATGATGATTTTGCATCTGGTTATCGGAATTTGATAAGTATCCGTCAGGTGCGAACACATCTCTCAAAGCCGTTTGTTCATACGATCGCAGATCGCAGTCGTACGAATACGACTCATGCGAGAAGAGAGTAAACGTTTCCGATTTCTACAATTCCAAGTAGACTACCTACCTGCATCTGCAGCCACGAGTAGTCGATGTACGCGGTGGTGGTGGCGGTGACGGCTCCGGCGATCCCGGTGGACGTCGTCGACGAGATCTGCTGCCAACCGTCCTGTGCGTTGCATCCGAGGACAGTCGCGAGGGGTCCGTCGGGTTGGGCCCGATCGGGCACTATCTGATCGGCGGCGTACTGAGCGGCGTAGGACGGCTGGATCGTCGGCGGTTGGACGCCGACGGCGGACGGCAAACCGGGCAGAGACGCCGGATGAGGGTGCTGCGTAACCCCCGTGGTGGCCGCGGCACCGGCGGGCAGACAGCACACGCTCGCGTCCATCCGTGGCGGCGGAGAGTCGTAAAAACGTAGCTGCTCCGGCTCCGGCTCCCGTGTCGTCGTCCTGCCGAGGGTTAATCCTCGCGGCACCATCCAATCCACGACCGTCGCCGCTCGCGCCGTGATTTCCACCGGCCGACGACTGAGAGGATCGATTCGCGCGGATCCTCGGATCCTTCCCCTTCGACACACAATTTAGATCTCGCGTCTCCTCAGGTAGGTCGAAGTAGAAGACGACGACGACGCGATGCTATCATCTTTCACGGAGGCGCGGCGAAGAATCGATCCGAACGTGGATCGGTCCCGAGTCGTCCTGCCGAGGGTTGATTTTCGCAGCACCATCCAATCCGCGCGGTCGCCGTGCGTTCGTTCCGTGATAAACCACGATGATTCTCTCTAGTTTTTAGAGCGCGATGTTGGGTTTCTCTTTCGATTAGACTGTTCCTTTCAGATTCTGAGTCTGTCTTTTCTTTCAGTAGATCGCGATAGAAGATCACCGGAGCATCACTATCTCTGACGCGCGACTGGATTTCACGCAATGTCACTTCGAGTCGTGATATCCGGCAATATGTAGCATTTGCGACAATCACGTACATCGGAATCGCGTTGACGTCCCGCGCGTCGAATCCAACGAATTCCGAGCGCGAAACACTATCCCGCACCAGGCTGCCGAGTGCTCGTCGAATGTTGTTGCGAGCATCGCGTCTTGCGGGAGATAAACGCTGCTATTAATTGACTAATGTCCAAGCTGTTATTCGTTGGTGGAAAGAATATTAATCCGATCGGCGACGCCGCCAATGCGCCGCTATCGGAGAGCGCTGATGCAAACGGGGGAAAGCATCCGATTCCAATTTCAAAATTAAAATATCGATGTAAATACCGATGATATTCTTCGAATTCTCACGATAACACGATTTTCTCAAACCAATACATCGAATAAGTTCGAAATTAATTCGATCCGTTCGATAACTCACTCTGTTCACTGCGCCCTTACACGAGAGATCGATAATTAAATTCTTCTGTCAGGAAAACATTTTCCATCAAATCGACATCGTTCGACTGCTCGTTGGAATATTCCTTTGCTCGATGATTATATTTTTCTTTCTACGTACGGCCACTTTTCAACAAACACTTTCCTCAGCCTCGTCAGCACTCGCGTCAATTCGAACTTACGACCCTTTCCAGCGTAATTTTCGCGCGGTGCGAGAAATGATGCGAAAGAAAGCGCTCCAGCAGGGAAAGGTTTGCGCGGAAAGGGTAAAGCGTGCGCTCGCAAACGATCGAGCGCGCCGATCGTAGTCGACCACTACGAGATCCGCGAAATGACGTTTCTCGACGGTGACAGCGCGCACTCCCGTTAATGCGTTGATGCGCGCGCGTGTTGCTGTGGAGAACCACGAGGACGAGGGCGGAGAGAGAGAGAGAGAGAGATAGAGAGAGAACAGAGGGAACTTGCGAGAAGGGAGGGTGGTGATGGTGGAGGTTGTGCTGGTGGGGATGATGGTGGTGGTACCGATGGTGGTAGTGGCGATCGTCGTGGCGGCAGTGGTGATGGTGGTGGTGATGGTGGTAGTGATGGTGGTGGGGTGGGATGGTGGTGGAAACAACAGTGATACGGAGGCAAGGGTGACGGACGAAACTGGCGCGCACAACTCTAACTGCGCTCGCGTATCGTCCGCGTTACATACGCGCATGCGTGAATGCGTGTCGTCAAGGCAACGGTTCCAGAGTAACTGCTTGGCGAACGCAGCCCTCCGCGACGAGCGTGTCGCTTCTCTCTTTTGCGCGCTCTCTCTCGTTCTTTCTCCGTCTTTCTCTCTCTCTCTCTCTCTCCTCTCTCTTCTCTCTCTCTCTCTCTCTCTCTCTCTCTTTCTCTGACGCGACAAACAGACCGAGAAAAATGGAACAATAACTCGCTCATGGGGCCGCGAATGATTCTCGCAAAAGTCCAAGACGATTGAGTCTCTTCCTTACAAAGATTTTATCTCAGTTCTTCCGTACTCTTTTTGATATCACGAATGCTGCAAGATTGAAATGTTTCTGCAAGATATTCGCAGTCCGCTTTCCGCCGTCGGTTAAAAGTCGAAGAAATACCGCTCGAAATTCTTCGTCTCGACAAAGATACGCTGCCAATAAAACTTCACCTCGCCTTTCGGTTCTTTAGCGAGCACGTTCTGCCGCTCGTCGTTATACGTTAAGCGGCCGATTGTAATAACGTCCAGCGAGCGGATTTCCAAACTACTTTGGAACAACATTGAAGTCCCTAACATTGTAGTTAGTCGAAAATGGATTTTACAGCATCAAAATTCAGAAGTTTCTATGTAGATATAAATTTTAAGGGAGATGCAAGAAAAATATTAGTCGAAGAGATATAAAATTCATATAGAATTTGATATAGCAAAATATTGACAAAAAAGATCAAAAAACAAAACGCGCTCGCACAAATTTATCTCTTCGAATCTTAATTGAAAGAAGATTGGAAAAATATACGTGTTCTCAAAAAGATATGATTTCACGTATAGTTTTATCCTCAATTTTACCTGTTAGCTGTAGCTTTTTCCTTTTATTCCGCCTATCGCGGCGTGTCGGAAGAATTTTTGCAGCGTCATAATTCAGGACGGAACTTCCGTCCGGCCGACAGCATATCGACGACTTCGATACAAGAAAGTGCGACCGGCTTCTGATATTCCTCGAATTCTATCTCGACAACGTTGGTCAAGTATCTGGAATTTTGCCGACGGGAGGAAAAACAAGCAATAGATGAATATCATGCGTACTATGCAACTTTTTCCGAATCGTCGTTCCTTAACTTTCGCATCTTTGAG